CCAAAGTTCAATACAATGTTTCCTATAGCAAGAAACAACATAACATACATCAGTAAGATACTATAAATGTATGTTACATGCATACAACAGAATACTATGCAGCATTTTTAAAAATCACAGATAAAAGAAAAAGCACAACTGTCGCCAAGGAGTGCCTACCCTGGAAACTGCTACTGGGTTTACCAGGCTTCCATGAGCAGGAGAGCCTTAGACAAACCACTTTTCTGTTTTAGCCGTAAAGCTCTTTCAGTTATCTGCCTAGAAAATGGAAGTAGGAGAATGTGGGTTGTACCTTCCTTCATAACTGTAACTATTTCATTCAATAATGCGATTTTAGGATTACAGGGAATTTCTGTGAAGTAATCTGTGCAAGAGAGCCAGGAGCACAGAAAGAAAGAAAGATACGCAGGCATTTTCTCCAATATTTATATGCCAATTTATATCTCCTAAATTGTTAAAATATAGACACAATAAAATTAGTGACCAGATGTGAGACACTAACTCTCACACTTCACCTGGACAAATGCATTACATTACACACAGCAGGCATTAGCTCTTCAAGGATTTTTAGATGTGATAATGGCTATAAATTCCCATTTCTGTGGAGTTCAACCATTGTGAGTTCATTTGGTAAAGTAAATAAGCAATTTGATTTTGCTTCACAAACTGAAACGCCACAGGATTTGTAAAAAATTAAGAACTTTCAGAGCTGTGTGTATGTGTGTGTGTGTGTGTGTGTGTGTGTGTGTGTGTGTGTGTGTGTGTGTCCATAAGCCACGCTCATATGTCTGGATTCTGCTGCCTCAGGACTGAGGGACTAGTCTACACTAATCCAACTTCCTGGAAGAACATTTCAAACCCTAAGGGGCCTCTTCCCAGCATTAAACCAGTTCAATCCAGTTTAGCTTCTAAGGTGTGACTGAATCCCAGGAGGTGGGTGAATCACCAGCCCACAGATATTATTAAACAAGATGACTCTGACCATCGCCTCAGAGTCTAACTTTCCCAATTAAAGAACTTTAAACATTTAATACAATGAAATATAATGGCCCCATTAAATTCTAATTCAAAACAAACAATGAAGAAAATAATTGCTACTCAATTACACACTGCTTAATTAGAAAACATTTAAATGGCATGTTCTTGCACATGACCTATTCCCAAAATTTCCAGTCTAACTTGGCAAACATATTTAAAACATGCCTATGAAAAGAATGCCAGGGGCCTTAAAAGGAGGTTCAAATAAATAATTTAAAAATAAGAACAGGCAGAAGAAACTAGTGAGCAGAAATAATCTCTCTTCAAAATCTACCCACTGGCACCTTGGTCCCAACATACAAGATGTCTTTCCGTACCACCACCTCAGGTTCTCACGGCCCTGCTGCACACCTTGCACTGCTCCTTCTGGCCTGAGGTGCACGGTCATGTTCACGCCTGCTCAGGCGGACATGCTTTAATGAGTGATGCTGTGCTGCTGCTTTAGAACCTGGCTTTCATTAGGTTCTAGGGCAGAGAGCCACTTGGAGAGGCTGACAAAAGTTAGAGGTGCTGAACTTTACACTGGAAGTCAGAGCTTGATCTCAGAACAAAATAAACCAATTTTACTGTGATGCCTGAGCACACCCTTAAACAAGGGCATGGTTGAACCCTCTGCTTGTAACATCTATGCTGAAGGACATTCCGTACTGAGTTTTATTTCTCTATACCCACCCCAACTCTTCGTGACTTGTTAGTCCACCCGGGTTTAGAGGAAGCCTTGGCTATTACATCTTGGTTAATTCTTTTTCATCTCTTGCTTTTAAGCTACTTAATAATTGAATGCTTCTGTAGCACAGCCTTTTGATATAAATTCACCAAATCCAATCTTGCCTATTATTCTTTTGAATGAAAGCTAAGGTTATAGACAATAGTGAGGGTTATTTTTAAAAATCTCTTTACCCATGTGATCTGCAGTGAAAAGATTTTATTATGTACTAAAGGAAATTTAAACTATATAAACAAAACAAGCAGAAACTAGTACAGGTATGTGGTATATTCATCACTTGAATACTTCCTATTGAAACTGAACAAAATAAATATAAGTTCCTAGAAAGAATCAGGAATAAAATTACCTAACACAGATTTAATGGGAAAACAATGTATTCATCAGTGATCATTTACACAGAATCTACAGAATAATGCCTTATAATCCCTTCCACTAAATCATATTATTTTATCATTCCTCTGACCCATTGTATAACCAAGGCACTTCATCTCTTTAGAATAACAGAACATACTAAAACTGCACAACAGATCATTCTTGACTATGCTCTTAGGCTAAATATTTTAATATTCTTTCATTATCTACAGTTGTCCTCACTATAAGAATTGCTAATATTGTCCCTCATTAATTTCTAACAAGGAGAAAATACCCCAGCTGACAGTTTTAAACATGTCAAGTCATATAAGTTCATTAATAATTTTCATGTTTATCTTTACTAAATATCTTCAAAGTTGCACTATCACAGTTGTTCTCCTAACAGTTCCATTACTTGAAATCTAGTTTGCCTAAATGAAATCATATAAGTAGTTACACAGAAGTATATGAAGGTCTGAGAATCCAGAGCAAGCACTTCCATTATTCAAAAGGTTGTAATGCTGAATATGTTAGTTACCCTTTGAGCCTCAGTTTAATTGATAAAATTGGAGACACACTCTATTTCGTAGGATTGTGGTTATTTAAAAAGCTAACTTATATTTTTAAAAACTGGGACAAAAACATCTACATGGGCTAAGCACAGTGGCTAATGCCTATAATCCCAGCCATGTGGGAGGCCAAGACAGGAAGATGACAAGCTGGAAGCCAGCCTCGGCAATTCAGTGTGACCCTGTCTCAAAACAAAATAAAGGACTAGGGACATATCTCAGAAGTAAAGAGGCCCTGGGTTCAATCCCCAGTAACAAAATGAAAATTAAAAAATGGGGCTAGGGTTGTGGCTTAGTGGTAGAATGTTTGCCTAGTATGTGTAAGGCACAGGGTTCCTAAGAAAGGACTTTAAAAATACAGTTCTACAGTTAAAAGGTTTCTTCTATTGAAAGAAACCACAGAAATATTACATGAAGCACAGGGTACCCTGAAAGAATTTTAGCAATAAAGAAATCACATAAACAATTCAATTTGATATGCAGTATTTTTACCAGGAATTCTAACAACAACAACAACAACAAAAAGCAAACTAGAAAAACCAGAATTCAAAGTTAAACAGTTTTCTAACATGATCACTATGCCAAAGTAAAAGTTCAAAGCAAATAATATTCACAAGGTTCAAATTCTCCCTAGAGCAACTGAGCTCTATAACATTAAACTTCCCTAAGACATTTTACGACCTTTGACATACACAGTGACTTATTAAAGCACTTAGATGAAAAATATATAGCAAATATATGCCAATTTGTTCCATGATTTTTCATGAGTACTGAAGAAAGAAGTCTCAGAAACTACTGATTTTAAAAGCAGATGATTTCAGAAGAGCTTGCTTCTCAAAAATGTTCTGATTCTATCTTAAAAATTTCAAAGAAGAGAGCAGAGAACACCCTTGAAGATGCATCTTGACATAGTCCCTTCGGTGTTACAATCAATATCTTTCTATTCAAAGGCTATGAAGATTTTTATCATCCCATGTATAGAATGTGGCCAGCTACATAGTCCCCGTGTGCAGTATGTAATGTGACAATGTGCGGTGTGACAATGGCAATGTCTATCCACTAAACCCTCTTGGCTCTGAGTTACCCAAGAGGATCTTTGTTTTGAAAAAATGCAGGCATGTTGATCTTGGTTTTTCTTCTTAATTCAGCAACCTACACTCACCTCTACTTATGTTGTTTCTTAACAAAAGGGGACAATTATAGTGCTTAAAAATAGGAACTCTTGGGTGTGGGTGCATGAAGGATTCATTACTGTTTTGTAGATGTTGAAAATTCCAACATAAAAAGGGAAAGAGAGATGAAGGAGAGAAAAGTTATGAATAATGCGACCTTGGCAGGGTGCCTCATCCATAAAATGGGATGATAACAGGTTACGCTTCATGGGAATGGTTGATTTGATAACATGTAAATCACTGAACTTCATTAATATAATTATTATTTTTATGATGATCAAATAAGTTTGTTAGTTGAATGAGTTTATAGATTAGGTTTAGTCTATTTAGGAATATTTTTAATTCTTTGAGAAAATAACACAATCATTATAAAACTAAGGAAGATAAATGAGAACAAGAAATACATAGTTTTCAATAAACATTTTCTGGGGCTTGAGCTTCTCATAGCTAATAAAAGTATGGGACTTATCCAAAGCAATGGGACTTGTTGTCAGGGCTAGAAGCCTGCCTGGGTTTGAATCCCAGATCTACTACTTGTTGTTAGCTGTGTTTTAGGCAAATTATTTATTGTGCATTTTGCATTCTGTCCCTTAACTAGGAATGAGGACAACTGAGGTATTTTGAGGATTAAACTAGTTAATAAATATAAATTGCCTGGAACAGTGCTGGCAGTTAGTGCTATGTTAAGTGTTAATATGGATTTAGTTCTTGAAATTTTTCACCAAAAAAACCTGCTTCCCACCACAAAATTGACCATTGTTAAGCCTAGTCACTCACAAGAATAACTAGTTAATTAGGTGATTATAATTTGAAAACTTCTGAGCTACAAATCTGAACTAAACACTGTCCCACTCATCAGTACCTTGTACATACATTCTGTCATCTACATGCAGATTCTACATAGCAGAGCTGCCTGCTAAGTTACTGGCAAAATTTAAACGCATACTATAGCTAGTTGGTCTGCATGTATACACCAAAGATTAGAACGATGATTTCTAAGTGATGGGAATGTGATATTTTTAGTTTATTTGTATTTTTCTGCCATGCAGATGCATTGTTTCCATAATAGATTATTTTAAAATTTAGAAGTTAAAGAAACATGCCTTATGTTTGTGTAGGGAAAAAACACCACAGATTCCATACCTGTATTTATGAATGATGGCATTAAATAGTTTTCCATCTCTCCAGCAGGTAGTGAAATTTTCACATCGTATTCCAGCGTAACCCTCTGTTGCCTGTTGTGTCCACAGCAGCAATCTCTCTTTTGCAGACATATCCTCTGACTCTCCAGTGACATGGATATCAGATATCTAAATATAACAGAAAGTGTTGAACCATTAGGAAGGAAGGAAGTTAATGCAGATTACAAACCTACTGTGTGCCAGGCACTTCATGAGTACTGTTTTCCTCAGTCCTCATAACTTATTTAAACACTAAATATATTTCTCCATTTTACATATAGGAAAATTAAGTTTCAATCAGGCTAACAGATTTAAAAAGTTATTTGTGTCCAAGAACTTAACTATACAAAAACATAACAGTATCAGAAAATTCTACCTTCTTCTTTGCTAATCAGTTTTAAAAAAAAATCCTTCAGCAAGTTTTTTTTCCAAATGCAAACTGATCTGAAGTAAACCTATAAGTTAATCTGCACTACCACCTGCTGAGCAGAATTTGAGCCAAAAGGTGTTCCGTGTAAAGAATAGAGAAAGAAATAAGTATATTCTTAATTATATTATATAACAATTTGGCTGCAAATCTCTTAATTTTCTCAAGAGTCTTGCTCAGCTTGTTCAACACAAAACTTTTCAACTGATTTCCCCTACATTTTTTTTTTTGTTTTCAATGTTTTTTAAGCTTCTTCCATCAAATAATAATATAATAACAACACTCGTGAGTGTTCATGATTTACATTTTCCAAGAGCATCACTTTGAAAAGGGTCCTCCTTGGCCTACTGATAATTACACTAAGGCACAAAGTGACTTTACTAGGAGTTGCCAGTAACTCCAAAGCTGGGATTAACACCAACAACTGCTCCCTCAGTCAGAGCAAGATGAAGAGCCAAAAGATCAAGAATGCAAGAGGCAAGCCAGAATCAGGATGGGCAAGTAAGGAGACTGGAATCAAGGCGTAGGGAGGGAAAAATAATTCTATAACAGGAACAAAATCACTAGACCAGAGTCATGTGATATGCTTCTAGCTCTGACCACAAGTCCCATAGCTTTGGATAATTCATGCCAGGTCTGTGAGTCAACTTCCTCATCTATAAAATGAGGGAGTAGGAAGCAAAATCAGATAACATTTAAGGCCCTTTTTGGTCTAAAGTCTTACTGAGACTGTAAACACAACACAGAACTCAGAGGTCAAAATACAGAGTCAAGCAACTTAAAGGGGGGGGGGGACAACTCCAGACTAAAGAGACCTTTTCATCTAGCAGTTTAAAATTAAAACAGGAAACCCATTATTCCTCCCAGCTGCCACAAGGGCCAGGGGCACAGCCAACCCAGGGAGCTGGGGCAGGCCGGCTGCAGCAGTTGAGCTCTTGCCAGCCTGGCAGCCCCTAGGACACCACTTGTTGAAGATGAGGGTGGGGCCATACACGGCCTCTGCCAGTGCACAGCAGAGGTAGCACCCTGCCCTGTACAGCTCAACTCCCGGCAGTGGACAAATGGCCAGGAGATAAAGCAAAGTGTCTTAATCATCATTACTAGGAATTCATGCTAGTCTCTATAATATGACAAAGCACTGTTTGTGTGAACACATTATATAGCATATATAAGAGCAATTTTTTTTTCATGTGAAGAAAACACCACTATTTTCTGCCCAACTTCTAAGAATATTCTAATCTTAAAATTATGCTTGTGTGTCTTCCTGGCACCTCCTCTGCATTTACATCTCAGGTATTAATATGCTCAAGCTACTTAGCTGATTTAAGATTACTGCCTCCTCGCTTGTAAAATAATAAGGATAACAATTATTACACTATGAGTGGGAATTCAACATCAGCACAATGTAATACCTGGCACACAGGAAATACATGCTCAACAGAAGATAGCTATTTCATTGTGGTGTTGTCATTCTTTTTGACAAATTGAAAAGCAAAAATTTGACTCCACTCCTCTTCCCAAAAAATGGAGGAGCTACACTGGAGTATTGACAGTGCTATTTAAAAAGGACAGAAATAACTGGAGAGTTAAGGGGGCTGTTTTTTGCTGATTCTAGAACATTCCATGCCAGTCCAGTTATAAAAGTAATCATCTATTAACTAGGGAAGTCAGTAAATTTCAACCACGGGTACCTGTGTAAAAGCATTGAGCAATACAGAGAATACTCCATCCTCAAGAAAAGAAAGAGTTGTTCAGAGGTTTGACAATGGTTAAATATCAACCAAAACCATGCATTCTTATTAAATACATTTCCAATATGTGAATTTCAGATTATATATACTACTTCAGATAACACTATTTAAAAAGGTGTAACTTTAAAAAGTACATTTACTTTATGAACCAAGCTTTAACATAACAAAGATTAATGCATTGACTCCATTTCAGCTTCCCCTGCTCTTGCCAATTAACCAAATGTCATCCTCACACAGTGATTTAAGGTATTTTTAAAAAACAGACAACATTAGCTACTATCTGAGTATATCAGATTTTTCATGATACACTGCAAATAAAGCAAAAAGGAAAAATAAATTGAATGCTAAAAATTATAAATCTACAGTTGTAATTCACAATCCCTGATCTGAAATGTGTGTGTTAGTGAAACAACCCAAGTCCTCCACAAAAGGCAGGTTGGGGACAGCTGACACTCAGGATGGACTGCAGGAAATCATAGAGTACCTCCTTACAAAACCTAGAGCCAACACGGCAATGGTTGGAGAGGGTTGCAGTTCCTATCACCTAGGGTCAAATCTCACCTCCAATGGTTAATAGAATGAATGAGCACAGACTATTCACAAAATATTTCAAAAATTCATTTTCCCATCTATGAAACTTAAACAATAGATGATCACGTCTATCTTCTTCGGTGGTTCTGAGGACTAGATGGAATAAGCACATAGAATGCTCAACACAGTACCTGACACAGAGAAAACTCTCCCAGCACCATTTTATTGGCATTATTTGCCCCTAAAAGCATCTCACCAACAATCTGTCAACCAGCACCAAAAAAAAAATACCTTATATCAGAGTTATTTCTGGAAACTTGAAGCCCTCATGCCTCACATCCAGGTCATGGTTGGCTACTACTCAAACTCAAGTTCTTCCTGTCATTGAGCCTGTCATGCCCATATTTCATTTGTATTTAATTTCCCCTGACCAGATTGCTATCATTTCCAAACCTTCCAAAAATACCAATCCCACAGTAAACAAAGTCTCTGGTATCTTCAGTACCTTACACTGCTTCTATCTCTCCAGAATCCCAGGTTCTCTCCACTACATTAACTGAAATTCCGCCAAGTCCCAGACTCTACTAGGCCAATGGGCAGCACAGGTATGCTTAACTCTGCAGAGATGCGAACCCAGTGGTTTTCAAACCATTGCCTATAGGTGCAAAGACCTCATTTTTCACATTACTGTAGGACACTCTTGCTTTACCACCTTTTTCCTCTCCTCAAAAATTATCCTGTGTCTCCCAAATGTTTGGCACCCAAAAGAGTATGTGCCTGCAAGCCCACATCCATCTCCATCTGACTCCCATTTTCAGTCCTTTGTCTCCTCTCCACTTCAGCCACTCATGCATCCGCATCCTGGATATCATCATCTTGAACCAGAACAAGTTGCTCTCAGACACTGAACTATTGACAGCAACTTCTTGTTTTTCTAGCACTTTCATTCTCCAACTCTAGCTAAGCCAATCATCTGGCTTCAACATCATCTCACATTCCTCGCCCAGTTCTGTTCTAAACTGTGAGTTACAGGGGAAGAAAAGTAATTTTTGTCTTCAACCTTCATAAGTTCTTAGTTGGAATGGAAATTTTTTGTTGGAATAGACCCATATAATAAGGCAGGTTAACAGGAAAAAACAAACAAGTTTATTGATATATACTTGAAGACTGGCAGGGAACTCTGGGAGACCAGAATAAGCTACCCAGAAATATGAATTGCTGAGATGAACACAATTAAGAAAACAGGTGCAGGAAAACTCCCTGCCCTCCATTTACCTAAAAGCAGAATACAAAAAGTGTACTGCTTGCTCCACCTTTCTATCAGAGATAAAAGATGAACTACTGAAGACAACTTTGCATGTCCGTGGGTCTGGAGATGGTTCTAGGATTCTACATGAACAGGCTTTATTGACTTGCCTCTCTACCTGCCCTTTGTTTGCCTTCCCCTGCTGCCACTCCTAGAGACTCAAAAGTTCTTTCCCCTTGTCATTTCTCTATAAATTTATTTTTTCTTGGTTGAAGCTAGAACTCAAAGTCACCTCTTTGAGAACTACTCATTCTCTGTGTGTCTCCCGGGTATATGTGAAATACACATGTTAATGAATTTCCATTTATTTTTCTCTTGTTCTGTCTGTCTGTTGTTTGTTCCAACTAAGAACTTAGGAGGTTGGTGGGGAAACATTTTTCTTCTCCTAAGGAGCCCTCCCTCATCTTTACATCCTTCTCTGCCTGATATTATATGATCCACCATTTCAACCACTCTCATCAGTATCCTCAGCTCCCCGACCCTTTACCTGGGAGCCACTCAACCACAATCTTTATCAAGGCAGCTGAGCATCTTCCCTGCTCATACCCTAAACTATGAGGTTTGGAAACCAGAAAACCATCCTATAACACTATGTTACCACCACAAATTTCAGGTCTGCAATCTTGGGTTGCCAATAAACAAGTCTCCCATTGATGTGAAATAATCACCTTTTCTTCTTCATAGAGAAAACAGCCCCATGAGCCAGGACTCCCTCATCCCCCTGTCCCCTTACACTCTTTGCCTCCATGTGACCTCTCTCCTCCAGTACACTTAATTCTTTCACCTTCTGCTTCCTAGAGATCTTATTCTATCTATTATTCTCTTTCACCTGGGTCTTTCTTCTCCATATTTAAAATGCCCAAGTCTCTCCCATCCTAAAGTAAAAGTAAATAACCTTCAACTCAATTCCCTCTTATCTATCTCTCTCTCTCTCTCTCTCTCTCTCTCTCTCTCTCTCTCTCTCTCTCTCAGGAAAGCTACCTAAAAGAGTATTCTGTCATTTTTTTTTCTTTTTGCCTTAATTACATTCTCTTCTCTACCTGCTGTGATTTGGTTTCCATCCCCATCACTCCACTGAAACTGAGCAGAGTTGACCAGACAAGAGAATCTGGTA